TCTCTCTCTCTCTCTCTCTCTCTCTCTCTCTCTCTCTCTCTCTCTCTCTCCACACACACACACACACACACACATATATAAATAGATAGATAGATATAGGTAGATATAGATATAAAATTGTTGTATAAACAGATGACTTGACCTTTCCAAGGTATAGTTGAGGAAGCGGTTTTATTGGAGCTATGAGGGAGAGTACATTCAGATGCATCCTGAAAAGTCCAGAGCAGGGAGAGAAAGTAATCCAATGAACATGGCCAGCATACTGAACCTGGCAATGAGAAGGGTGGAGAGTAAGAGCAAGAAAGAAAAAGAGTATGGGGAAAGGAGATCAAGAGAGTGTAAGAGAGAACTAAACTAAGAGTGTGTGTGTGTGTGTGTGTGTGAGAGAGAGAGAGAGAGAGAGAGAGAGAGAGAGAGAGAGAGAGAGAGAGAATAGCAAAAATAGCAAAGCTATAAGAAGAAATGATGAGAAGCTGGAGAGAGGGAGCTGTAGACAGTTAAAGTAAGGAGCCTGATGGACTGCCAGGAGGGACTGAAATATGGAACAGGTACTTGTGATTCTCAGGAAGCCTCAGGCCAGAATGCCCTTTGGTATGCTAATAGGTATCACAAACAGGCATTTGTTCCTTCTGAAAGTGATAAGGAAATGGTTCCTTTGGTAGAGGGGAACTAGCTTCACCAGTTCCTGAAGAAGGCTCGCTTTTATCTAACCATCAGAATTTTCACCTGGCATCTATATCCAAAAAAGTTATATTGAGGAGATAGCTCAGTTAATAAAGTATTTGCTTTATACACATGAGGACCAGAGTTTAGATCCCTTGCACCCATAAAAATATCCATACCTGGCAGCATGTACCTATAATTTTATTCTAAAAAGAAATAGCTAAAAGGATCCTTTTTTAAATTTATTTATTTATTAAAGATTTCTGCCTCCTCTCTGCCACCGCCTCCCATGTCCCTCCCCCTCCCCCAATCAAGTCCTCCCTCGTCAGCCCAAAGAGCAATCAGGGTTCCCTGCCCTGTGGGAAGTCCAAGGACCACCCACCTCCATCCAGGTCTAGTAAGCTGAGCATCCAAACTGCCTAGACTCCCACAAAACCAATAGGTACAGTAGGATCAAAAACCCATTGCCATTGTTCTTGAGTTCTCAGTAGTCCTCATTGTCTACTATGTTCAGCGAGACCGGTTTTATCCCAGGCTTTTTCAGACCCAGGCCAGCTGGCCTTGGTGATTTCCTGATAGAACATCCCCATTGTCTCAGTGTGTGGGTGCACCCCTCGCCTTCCTGAGTTCCTTGCTAGTGCTCTCTCTCCTTCTGCTCCTGATTTGGACCTTGGGATCTTTATAGTTTAGTTGCAAGCTAGTCTGTTTGGATTTGTGAGCTCCAGACTCATTGAGAGGCTTTGTTTCAAAAAATTAGTTGAAGAAGATATGTGATTTGCATGTGATCTTGCATGCATGTATACACACAATCAGAGATTACAAATAAATAATTTATTAATATAACTTATGGCTTTGGAAGAACAAGTAAAGCCAAACCCTAAATTAATATAAAGAAAGAACCATTTTCCAGGAAAAAATTAAAAGAATGGAAAGAACAATCACAATAATAAAACAAAGCAGATAATTAATTAAACAAGGACTTGGTTCTTTGAAAAATAAAATCAAATTAACCCTTAACAAAACTTGTTAGGAGAAAAAGAAGGGATACCTGTTATACTTTTTTTAAAGATAAGGTTGGGGGAGGCTGGTCCCACAAGGGGCTGTGGAGTCACTGGAGCTTTTAGAGGGGCCAAGGCAAGTAGAAAATCATGGCCAGGGAGACAGGCAGATAAGCCATGCAGAGAGAGTTTGGGTATAGAGTTTATTTAGTGGGTTATGGAGGGGAAAGGGAGGGAGGAAGAGAGAGATAGGGAGGTGGGGAGAAGGGAGAGGGGGAAGAGAGGGAAAGGCAGCAGTCACCGCTTCAGAAGAGGGACAAAAGGAGAGAGAAGGCAGGCTGGAGGAGGCAGGAGATCCGTTTGCCTGGGTGGAAGGGGAGGAATGGTTGGGATTAAGTGGTGCTTGTATGTTCAAAGGTCTGGATACCCAGGTGACAGGCTAGCAGATCATAACAAAATTGAAATTGCCAAAATTGCAAGTGAAATGTCAGATTTTATAAAAGATATCAATGGCATTCAGGAAAAATCTTTTAAGACATTTTATAAAAATGTCTCCCACCAACTTAAGACATCTAAAAGAAATGAATCACTAGACATGTGACTTACCAAAATTAAACCAAGATGAGGTAAACAACTTAATAAAATCAAAACTGAAGGATGTGATTGGAAGTACAAAAATATTAATCTCACAACAAAAAAGGTTTAGGATGAGGAAAATTTACTGGTC